TTATAATCCTGCTGGCACTATCCGAAGAACTGGACTTTGACCTCAAATGTACGGTCTAGTATATCCTAAAATTTAGGTCGAAACAATAAAACTTTTTCCCCTATTTTAATACTTTTCCGTACACACACACACACACACACACACACACACACACACACACACACACACAAACGCATACATCGTCTGTTTTAATTTCTAAAATTTTTTTACTTTATATTTTATATATTTTACGTGTACACGTACGCATACAATGACAAACAAGAATACATAATTGGGTTTTAGTATCATTATTTTCTAAATTTTCAATTTGACAAACAAATCTTTACATAACAAGAGAAAAGTACATTAAATGCGTTTACGGTAATAAGGGTTTTGGTTTAATTGCTTTACCTCGACATACCTCGCAGTAATGGGAAATTACTTATTAGAGTATTGAGAAAATAAGAAAAAAGTCAAGTAAGCATCATCGCTAGAGTACGATGTGTATTTTTTGCATTTGAAATGCGAATTTTTTAATTTACCAATATACTTTTCACCTTTATTCAAATGATTTATTTTCTGATGCATTTTCATTTTTGTAGTTTTTTGTTACAAGACGATTTGATTGTCTTTTATATATTATTACACGAATCACATTATAAATTTATAAACATTCCAACACTAAAGTCATTAAATATTGATAATTATAATAATTGTTTTTTTTTAGTTATATAAATTATCACGGTAATGATGAATAAAATTGAGAAATCATAATTTTCTAATAATTATAAATTCATCTTTGTCATTATTCTGAGATCAAAAAGACTTTTTAATTATATTTTCAATTTTGGATAATTCTAATTTATGCTACATTTATTAAATTTTATATTTATCTTTTAAATACACTTTTTGCATTAATTGCGATCCTTTAAATTAACATATTACTGTTGCAGATAAAATGGCTTTACTGGCTTATTATTAAAAATAGTTTTTACTTCAGAACAGATAATATTATTCGTATCATTTAATAATAATTCGTCGCAAAGAGAAATAATCAGTTGTGTACTCGAGTATCTAAAAATGCTTATAAAATACGGATATAATTATATTATACATGCAGAGTTTTTTTTACGCAACGATTATAACGATTATCGTTTAGATTTTATTAATTTATAGTGTAATGAGCTTATATAAGAGAAAACAAGAAAAATAGAGAAAAGTTCAGATTCTAGTAAAAACTAATAAATAAACGAACGATCTCGAAGATAATATACAATATAAAATTATTATCGTATTACTAAATAAGTTATTGAGTACGATTAAGAATATATATATTAGTAATAGAAATATTTATATAAAAGACTAAATATACAATGGAGAAATATTAAATTATTCTAAATAATGATTTAAAACTCAAAACAATTATAAAATATATGCTATTTTAAATACTAAGAATTAAATACAAATTTTAAATCAATTACAGATGAAATATCGTAATGTATTTAATGAAATTTCTTCTACTTTAAATTACAAAACTATAACATAAATATTTTTATAATTATGATTTTTTTATTGCTTTAAGATTTAAAAATTGTCAAATAAATATAATGAATTTATAAATCCAGAAATTGCATGCATAAATTATAGCTTTTCTCTTTAATCAATACAGTAATAATAATAATAAATACTTCAACTCATCAATGGTCTCGAATAATCAGCGTCTTATTTTTCTTTACTGCTACGATTGATACTACGATTTTACAACAAATGATGTTTATGTACGCTATATATATATATATATATATATATATATATATATATAAATTATAATTGAATATACCGACACTCCTTGAGACCACAAAATTTAAAGCGTTAATGTATTTACTGCTATTATCACAATTAGTCAACTCACACAATCGTTGATAATGTTTATTATGAGAATCGTCGAGGCCGAATCTCCATCACGCGAAAAATTTTTAATTCGCATTGTCGAATAAATGATTTGTTTAGCCGTCCGTCGATGGGGCGGATTGTCCGAAGGATCGAGTCTCGGGGTAATAAAAGCCTCTTAATCCTACCGCTGATTAATGCTCGCAAAACGAATATTAAAGGACGTGCCTTATCGGCTACATGTTCAGGACGTGTAAAATGATTTTCGAGCGAATACTCATGTATCTTCCCTCATTTAATTCGTAATTTTCATTTTTTTCTCGTAAGTGCTCTATTGCGCGTTTTATTTTTTGTTCTTGAAAGATTAGCGATAAGAGAATGAATAAACATTTTAATGATAAAAATGAAAGTTGACTTATTGTATCGATTACTTCCCAAAAAATGTTCTACCCACCTTCCCAAAATTATCTCAAACGACTCGATATAATTGCATATAAAATGCTTTTATTATCATTATAAATATTATTAAGATCGCCATTAACGTTATAACGATTAATAGAAAAGCTCAAATGAAAAAATACTAATATTGTATTTACCGATAAAAGTTATGGGACATCCTTAATTTAGTTGCTTTTTACGTCTTATCTTTTCTTCGCTCTAACTATAATTTGCGTTCTTGAAGTAGGTGTTCTCTCGAGGACAATATTTCGAGGAAAATGAGTAACGAGCATAGCTGCCAGTAAGGCAATAATCGATATACCTGATAGATATCGACATGTAGATTATTATATACAATTTGCTTGCTCGTGAAATATTAAGAGACAAATAGAGAAATGCCGATTTATCGATAACTGCGCTTAACTAATAATTAATCAACAATTAATTTTGCTTTATATATTGTTTGTGACTCGAGTTAAAAAATAAACATGTCACTGTATTTAGTTTATATTAATGTAATGGTAATTATTAGCAACGTGTTTATAATATTAAAATAATATTGCATTTTATCCTAGTACATCTGGTCGTTAAGTTTTCGAATGTGAAATTAAATCTTCTGTCCGCTCTTCGACTAGATAAAGGGCAGTGAGTTTCTTCTATAAAAGCACAAAAAAATAAAGCAAAAGAGTTTGTCGCAAGGCCAGCTTGATTGACATTGACAAAACCTACTTGTTACCGAGTCCTCTAATAGTCTCTTCCAAGTGTATGAGAAACCGGTATATGCTTTTTAGATGCATCGCAAAGCCATAATTGTTGCATTTTTATTGTCTATATATATATATATATATAAAGGAATGAAAAGAAAGGAAAGTTGTAGCTACAAAGAGGAAGAAAAAGAGACCAGAGATAAGATAAAAAGAAATAGTCAAAGACTATTAATAGTTTTTCCTTATATATTTTTCTCCCCAATGTATGCGTTATATTAATTAATGGTGAATTAAATGAATTCGATTTTTAGTTGAAATATCATCTTTATAAGCTTATTTTTAGTCCTATAATATTTCTAATGAATTAATACGAATTGCTAGAATTTTATCATAAATAAATTGTTATAACAATACAAGTACAAGATTTTATTGAAAATGACGATTTCGTTATTACTTTATTTACATTAATATTGTCAAGGTTTGCTTCAATAAGATAAAGATAAAATTTACATTGTTAATTACTCTATTAAATAAAGAGCTAAGTTTCAAGCAATATTTTGTATTTCTTTCAAAAAGTTTTGACTACTTATGATATGATGAAATTATTTTTAAATCACTTTAATATGTGATTGGGTATGTTGTGATTGTAATAAAAGTGCCAAGTATTTGATACCGTAAAAACATAATTTTTTATATTTAAATATCAATTAATATTTATTTTAATATTTATTTTTATATTTAAATGAAAAATACATTGATAATTGATTATAGAGTTGAAATACATAGGAAAATCAAATAATGAGGTCTGTATATAAATAGATTTTAGTTTTCAATGTTTGTGCATTAAACTTTTAGAATAATTTAAGGCTACTTTTTAATAACAACTAGTTAGTCATATTAAGATTCCGAACAAATAAATCTACATTATTTTGTTAATAATCATTATTAACGCGTATGAAATAAATAATAGTAATAGTACTCACTGAACATGTGAAAATGTATAAGCCAAAACAAAACAAAAAAAGAATATAAAATAAAATAACATAAGAATAATAGTATATTTATAATTTCTTATAAACAATAAGCAACAAACTTATTATTAAAGAAATTATTAAACAAATAAAAAAGGAAGAGACGCTTTAAAAGGGGAGTATTATATTAATTGAAAACACGATGATTATTTTTTAAGATTTATTATAATATTAGAATCACATTTGGATATATTTAAAATGTAGTTCTGTGAATTTTGTTATTAATAGAATCAATTTCCAATTATCTTTTTTCCTAATTATTTAGGTATCATTATTGTAAAAGAGGTAAATAAATATATTTTTTAAAAACAAGCGAAACAATGTACCGTTAAAAGTATAATCAACACATTTTTATATTTAATTTATAGTATTTTAAAATTTTTTAAAAATATTCTTATTATATTATATATAATATTATACATAAGTAGTTTAAGTGTAAAAATAAAAAATAATAGAATGAATGCAGTAAAAGTGTTCTCGTTTATACACATGTATTATGTAATAATATATACATATAATTATTAATTAATGTGTTTTAACTAACTAACATTATTTAGATGCAATTTAAGTATATTTTTCAATATATTATCACGTTGAAACTGAGTTATTTTGAAAAACAGTATAAAAAAATAACAATATGTACATGTTAATATTGCGTTTCGGTGGCTTCCACATTGGATCGGCTAAAACGTATGAAATTTAATGAAAATATTCTTAAGGGAGAATAATGCAAATTATTATAAGTTTTTTTATAACAAAAGAATCTGCTTTCAGAACAATCATTACACTATTTATAAAGTTTATAAATTTTTCAAGTTCACTATAAAAAAAAATTACCTTTTTAATTGATTGCGCACGTGACTTAGTTGTATATTCGTTTTCACGCTTCGATTAATACTTATAATAAATAATTAAACACATTTGCATGGGTAAGTTGATTTGTGCAATGAATGAAGCCGAATAAACTTACATGCTTTCTTGAGTTTCACCAATTTTGCCTAACAATTTATTTAAATAAAGCTCGTATTCAATAAACAATATATACGTAATGCAATTTACATAAAATGACTGTTTTAATATATTTTGGCGCGGATATTCTGACAAAAAAAATGAGCAACTTTACGAACGAGATAAAAAATTTATTCCTTTATTATTCTTGTTTCATATTCGAAGAATCAAGCATTTCTACTTCAGAACTTAATTCGCTAGTTGAAAATTCTTCGGTTTTTGCCGAATTTTCACCCCAACCTGAAAATAAGTTTACTCTCAATTTATCAATTTGCTGATCTTGAGCTTCAGCAGATGCTACATTATCAGTTGATTGGTCTGTTTTCCTTTGAGACTCGGAGAATTGATACTTTGGCGTTTCTAGTGGAGCATCTATTAAATCGATATAGAATTTCAATATAGATCAATATAGATTTTAAGATAGTTTAGTACCTATAAATGGATGACATTCATTAATAAGTTGTTCCATAACAAATCCTAGTAAAGTAGTTGTGAAGGTATCGTCTCGTCGAAGACCTAAAGCTCTATGACATGCATCTACTGCTTCTTGAGTATTACCCATCATCGCATGAATAAAGCCAATTGCTGAATACGTTGCTGGATTCAGTGGATTTAAAACCAATGCCTATCATAAGTATGAATATATAAGCGTATGATAAAAAAAAAACAAAACAATATGTATATATATATATATATATATATATATATATATATTTAATTTTAAAAACAGATTAATATAATTTTATGTTGTTTATCTTACTTGCTGATGGTAATCTAATGCTTCTTCATATTTTTTCATTTTTCTACAAGTATGTCCTAAATTATTTAATAACGATTCCCATTTATTTGGAAGAATAACATCTTTCAGTCCAGTTTGAATTTTTTTCATGGCTTCTTTAAATTGCTTTTCCGCATTTTTAAAGCTTAAATATTAAAATTTAAAGTGTTTGATTATACAATGATTTTTGCTAAATAACAAACCAACTCACTCTAAATTATAAAAAGATATGACAGCAGTTTCATGAATAACAAATGGATCGTCTGGTGCGATACTTTGGGCTTGTTGAAAAAATTTATCAGCTAGTTTCAAGTTATTGGTTAAGCCGCACTCGAGGCCAATGTACAGTAAAGGCAAGTGGCAACCCTTCATTAATTGCGAGGCTTTGAAATAAGCAGCCATTGCTTGATCGTGTTCATTTTCAACAGCAAAGGAATGGCCGTAGGCTAGCCATGCAGGGCCAAATAGACGATCTAAAGAGGTAGCTTTGGCCAAATACCTTCTAGCTGGATCGCTTTTTCCTTAATTTTACAAATTTTTAATTACCAATTACAATATTTTTCTTATGTTGCGCTACCTACCTATACTGTAATAATAACAACCGACAGCAAACCATGATAAAGCTAAATCTGGATATAAATCTACTAATTTATGAGCTAAATAAAACAAAGCTGAAATACATAAATTGTCGGTTTAAATATATTGTTTTATGTACGGCGATTTAGATTCTCAAAGACTATGTAAAATCAATCGAATACCATTTGTTTTTCTTAGCTCAACAAGGCATGCTATGTGCACTGGTAAACAGCCACTATGATAAGGATCGTTTTTTAATATACTGAAATGTAAATGAAAATAATATAAATGATTTATAAAATTTAATTTTAACTAAGTTCAAAAAATTGTCAGTAACTACAAACTTTTCTGTTAGCGAGAAACACTGATGATAATCACAATTATAGTACAATCTTTCCGCTTCTGCAACTTGTATATCTAAATTATGTCTTAAACGATCTTTAACGAGTGCTCCACAAGATACAAGTAAATTGTATTCCGCTGGTGCTTGATACTTTTTCAATTTACTTTCATAAAGTAATTTTAATAATTCAGTATCGGCCTCTTTACATTGTTCAGAAAATGGCAATGAATCTAATAAATCTCTTTCTAAAAATTCATAAGATTGAATATTTTAAAATTAAATAGCTTTTTTGTGATAGATATGAAAATCAATAGATATTAATTACCTTCGGTAGAGGATAGCATTTGATTTTGCACAAGGGCTTCAAATGCTTGATATGAATAAACATCGCAATGAAGCGATTGTTTGTAGCATTCGGTCGCTACCGCACGATTATCCATTGCTTCGTAAACTTTTCCTTTAACAAATAAAATAGCACTTTGCACCTAAAAATATGTCTATTTATGAAATCAATGAAAAATCGATATTAAAAATATTTGACAACACTTGCGTCAAATAAATGTGTGTTTGTGCATAGATGTATAATAACTTTATAAAACAATTATTGTAACATAAATATTTATGTAATTTGAGCAGGCGTATGTATATTAATTTATTTTCTGAGAAAATTGTAATTAAAAAAATTATACTAACATTTTTTGGAGCATCGTCTATTATAATAGAATGATCGTCGAAACTAGTTTCCGACTGATTGATATTTGTTAACGTTTCAAATTCATTAATGACTTGAACAGCTTCTGTAAGTTCTTTAGCCTCGAGCAGACAACGAACGACCAAGTAATGGCACATAACGTTCTTCTAATAAACCAATACATATAAAAGAAAAAAAAACAATTTAATATTACAATGTACTTTAATTATAAAAGCATTTTTTATATAAAAAACCTTTTCGAGTCCACGACTTCTTATTAAATGAGCTGCTCGATGATACTGCTTCATTAAATACATGCATTGTGCTAAAACGCAGACATCCTTTAAGTTTTCATTACTTAGTGAAAGTACTTTATCTGCCCAAAACAATGCGGCATTGTATAAATGCTGTAATTACAAATAATCGAGTACTTAGTTTAAAGGGGGGGGGGGAAGAAAAATGCTATTATGAAATGTTATTTACCAAATCAATGTAACTTTTTACCAACTTTCTATAAACTTCTAGATCGATATTTTTATTTTCTAAAATACTGCTCATTCTTTCGCAATCAGGATTTATTTCTTGCTTGGACATTGTATGATTATAAATTATTTAAATTTAAATGTTGTAGGTTAGATGACAGTGTCTCATTCTGAATTTTTCATATCCTTTTCATTTAAATTTAAACGTTATAATATAATGCACATGTAACATAAGATTTTGAATGCACTAATCAAGCAATTTTATTTACATAAATATTTTTAACCTTTTAAAAGAATATGTATAAACTAAAAAAGATATATCACGAACTACGTTTCCAAACGTTAAAAATATTATGCATACAAATAACTTATAAATAAATATACAATTTTACATCACACACTTTCATCTCTGTGCACTATATTATCATTGTATCAATGTCAAGAAAAAGTGTCTTCATAAGCGGCAAACGAATGCCGGCTATTTTATAAATATATTTTGTTATGTTATTGAAATGAATTGTGTCCAATATGAGAATGGAAAATTGATAGGAATGATTGAAGTGAATGATATTGGAATTGAGGATTAAGTGAAAAGCTAATGTCTTAAGAGAAATTTTAAAATTATAATTAAATTTTTTTATGTCAAACGGCTCGTTTGTATTTACACACCCGCTCACTCGCTCTCGGGCACATACGCATGCATAAACACACGCACACGCGCGCCCGCACACAAGAATTATGCATCCAGTGTAGTTGACTATGCATCCAAATTAAGATTGACATTTATTTATTTTTTTTGTTTTGTTTTACACATTGCTTACGAATCAAATTTTTATTCTACTTCTTCTCTTAGTTTTTATATTACATTAAATAATTAAATAAATAATCTTAATTTTACATCAAACTCCCCTCATTCAATGTGTAAAGGAAATTTTGACCTTGATAAGCGTGTCAGTTTAATGAGTCTCAATATTATCGAGTACGCGTTGGACGACCAGTAATTTTGTCAAAATAAACTTACCTTAAGTCACACGGATGATTTGAACTTATTCTTATTGTTCGAATAGCATATATTATCGTTCAATAATTATGCAAATATATTGCATTGACTTGGATTAATTTTCAAAGTGAAATAAATAAGAATAACGGATATTCTCATCTGTGGGGAAAGTGTTATATTTCGCTCTCTTTATTTCATTCTCAAATTAAAGTTTGAGACTTCCAGTAGAATAATCATTCGAAAATTTAAAAATATTATTATTCATTTTTCCGCAAGAGTGACGTAACTAAATTAGGAGGTATAAAAATAGAATTTATATTATATTTATAAAAAAAACATCTGTCAACTCGATAGAATTAAAGTAGTTTATCATTTATTAATTGAATTTGTAATTATTCATTATTTTATCCTCTTGCATAGTTTTTGGAAAGTAATTGATGTCATTTGCTATATTTTAAGTTTCCTTAAAGTATGTCATTGGTATTTTTTATGCGTAGACGCGCGTTTGTGTATATATATATATATATATATATAGAATTATATATTTAAATAAATAGTAAGTAAACTGTAATGGAAGTTTTTTAAAAAAAAGTATTAATAAAATTTACATTAAATCAATGATTTTAATTTTTCGTTCCGTTTATACATTAACATTTAGCAGAAATATACAAAAAAATACGTAACTTAAGGGAATAATACGTATTCTATATTGTGCCTAATTAAAAATTTCAGAGTTTAAAAAATTAGTTAAATATTGAATAGCATCGCATTTAAAATAAAAATGTAATAATTTTATTGATATAGATGGTAAGATTACTTTTTTTACATATGAAATATAAATATTTTTCGCTTCCTAAATATTAATATGGAATAATGTTAAAAATTATTGAATAAAAAGGACAATAATTGAGAAGAAGTAAAGGAAGGAATAAAAGAGACCAAAATAATTACTAATTAAAACTTTTAATACAAGTTTTCCTTCTTAAATTAAAAAATTACAAATTAAAATACAAATTGTATGCTTTTCATATGTCGATTTCAATGCTTATTGAAAAGGAATTTTTAATGAAATTTATAATAACAGTTTAGTAATCTATATTTTAGAAAGAATTATCTTAAAATTTTAAAAATTTGAGGTTGACACATTCGATTCATCGATTTATTTGATAATTAATTTATTTGTTTAATTAATTTATTACCTTGTAAAAATATAAAATCAGCTATTTAAATTTACAAATAATTAATAATATATTCATAATAAAAATTAATGCTTACAACTTATCCATACGTGAAAATGAAATTTATTGTATAAATGTTAATATTATTTATATATTCTTTTTTTTTAACATTAGAAATAACTTTTATTTTATCATTGTCATTAATATTATGATATCATTGATAGTGTTACCAATAAATTAAAAAAGTATGTGAAGTAAGTTTTCCGAATAATTTAGAATAAATAATACACTCAATATTTCAATCAATCGAAAATATTTATAATTTATATTTCTCATTCTCCTAATTTTGCTTAAAACTTTTTTTTTCTTTTCTTCTTCTTTTTTTTAATTAATTTTCATTGTTTATTTGGATGGATATATGACGTTTAGTAAACATTAAAATCAAAATATAAATAATTCATTACCGAAATAATACTTAAGTTGAACAGTTGTTATAATTTGCAAAATGCTGTAAAACGAGATTATAAAATATAGTACAATTATTTATAGTTACATTCAACTTCAATATTATTTTAATAACTAATTACATTTATTACACATTACTTTAACAAAATTATTATTATACTGATTAGAATCAAAAACCCATTTGTTTATAAAATAAAATAAATATTTTTTTAATAGCAAAATAATGGATTTTTTAAATTAATGACAAACCAATATAAAAAATGTATAAAAATAATCAGATTAAATATTATTTCAAATACTAGGCTGGACTTGAGTATTGTGCAGATTTAATGATAAATCCAATTTCATCCAAATAATTGAAATGATATTTAATTTGAATAACTTGTCGAATGAAAACGACTACATTAAAAGTAACCATCAATGCCATTGTTTAACAGAAACAAAAGGAGATAAAACAATGTTACAATATACAATAGTAATGATTGTAAAAACTATGATAACATTTTACTAAATTGAAAATTTGTTTAATAAATGCTTTCTTTCAAACATAAAAATGTACAACTTCCAGCTCTCTTCCCTCTTCATCGTTCTCAGTATTGTTTTTAAAAAATTTTTCTAAGATGCTTCACCTTTTTTCGTAATCAACTTTGTAATTGAATTATTGATTTTAATAATTGAATATCTCTTACACATCAGTCAGTATAAATTCAAGTGAGACTTGACATTTCAAAATTAAACTATTGATATAATTCAACTTGCGATAGATTTCAACACCAACGTATACGCATGGCAACTGCACACCTATTTGCATTACTTTCACAACGAATTATCAATTCCTCATGTATGCTGGTGTGAAATAAAATCTTTGCATTTAATGATTGAATATTGAATTCTCCGTTTATTCAATGGTATTTCTAATGGTCTCTTGATCGGGGAACAGATGGCCAAACAATGAAACTGTAAATATCGCCGTGAGGCCGAACAATCCAACCGTCGTAGTGACAGTGAATAGTTGGGCATAATAGTATCTGAAGTACCAGGCAAGACCTAAAATAAGGGTTACGACACTGACCAGAAGTCTACTGAGGTCCCATTCGGTTTGTACAGTGCCAAGACCCGCACCAACCGGTAGATTTTGAAAAGGCAGGGGATTAATGTATAAACGCGAGGAACTATCTAAGGAGTTTGAAGCGACTGGAACTGGACGTGGCTGATGAATTAGACAATGAACTACGCAGTTGTTAAAAAATCCACACTGCTCTAAAGTGGCATTATCGGGTTGAAGGATTTGGCCCTTGAAGACTAAGCGAACTAATTTTCTGGATTCGAGCTCCAACTGAAAATGTCTCCTAGAATTTTCAAAAATTGAATAGGCATTAGATATTATGCGAGCGTATCTTACGAATATGTAAGAGAGTAATAATTGAAGCGCAAGAAAGTAATTTGCCTCCCTATAATCATTGACATTTCTGAGTCATAATATAGGGCATTGTGTTTGAAAGGTAAAAGTAAGTCACCTTTTAAAATCTCCAAGTATTTCTTTAAGACTTCCAGTAACAAGTTTTTGGTCGTCGTTAATAAATTTCAGCTTTATGCAGATCTTGTCTTGGATGGCTTCTGGCAATGTAGGCTCGCTTTGCTCTGGCTCCGAAGAAGTCGTTTCAGTCTCTAACGAAGCCTTTTCGGCTTTATCGTTCTTTTCCAATAATCTTTCGTCGTTATTAAACGAGTCCATGGCCTGTATGAGAGCCTCTTCGTTCGTCGCAGCTGGCGTTTCGTTAGATTCGATTGGAAGTTGACTGGTGGCTAAGGAATTAACGGTGCATTAATCGATAATAACACGATAAGGTCGTCCTCGCTAATGGGCATGCATAATGTTACGGTACCAGGCAGGGGTGACTCTGGACAATTAGCCTCTATTTCGCTACTGCTGCTCGAATTTGACTGCCTAGAGTCATTCTCAGCGCTGTCGCTATTGCGTTGCTGTTGAGCCAAAGCCAATGCCTGTTGATTAGCACGCAATGCAGCGATACGTGTTCGAGTACGGTGCTGCAAAATCAGTACTGTGCGAATTAACGGTTGATCGGCAATGTTTGTTGAGCACCATGCAATCCATCCGACTAGCAAGACTCCCACAACAATGAAGAAGTCTAGGACTTCGTCTCCCACACCCTGTATCAACGTCATGTTTCTCTCGTTGTGTTAAACAAACACCTGGTGTTATTAAAAAACAAATAAGCAGAATAGAAAATGTAATTTATTATTGAGAGCCGTGTGAAAAACAGATGATCGATGAATGCTGAATTTTCAACGACTATTAGAATCACCTGAGTTGATCGTAAATTCCAAATGGACGTGCTATAAAGCAACGCTATCTCCGTCACAAATGATGAAAATAATAATTATTGAAAAACATTTGGTCGAAAAACGTCGTTTCTTGACAGCTGACTCGTTTTTACAAACTAACAAAATGCCTTCCGCGAATTCCTTTATGGCCTTGTATTTTACCGATTAGTGATTATGTACGGATGGTGGATACGAGATTTTCGACAGTCAACACTGTCGAGCACTAGGGATTTTTTCCGCTATCTACACGACATACGTACTTCTTACGCTCTTACGTTATGCGAGTGCGCGAGGCAGGTATAGGTATGGCGATGTACTCGTGGACATGTGTATTGTGTATTGTGTATTGCGTTGTGCCCGGTCATATGGTAGTGTCAGTGGTACCTACGTCAGTGAGAGCGAGACTTTAAACGAGAGAGGTGGATGTAGGTGAGAAGAAGAAAATTTCAAATGTGTATCATATAGACACGGAGGCGTACGTATAGTGGAATATGCGATTTTCAAATATTGCGTTTGCCTGTGAAATATAACGGCGAAACGTACTCGTCACTTTTAATGTTAATGTTAATTGATCGTCGAAATAGGAGGCGTAATTATCGCTGCTTACATGTCCGATGATTGCATTATATTATTTTATTGCGAATTGTGTATTTGGCGATTGTGTGGCGCAACATCTTGACTGTTATGTATAGATTCGCAGGCAGAGCTATTTTAGACTTTAACTATTTTAGAGTTTAATTTTAACTGTCAAGTGTTTGAAAAATGTGACTTTTATACACAATTTTTGACTGGTCGTTCAATACGCGCTTATGTCGGTGGCCTGAAAACAAAAAAAAATTTCATTGTCAAAGAGACCTTTGTGGTTATATGGGTATAAAATAATTAAATAAAAAGAGAGTAAAAATAGCTTCAAGATTTCAGAGATGGATATTCCGAAGACACCGATGGAGAATCTTTTAAATATGTTGTCAGGACTCAGTGCCGGTCATGAAAAGGCTTTGAAGCAAGGCATTTATAATGCCGTTGCTTTATTTCTATTATGCCTTGTGTCTGCTGCAGGATATGGACTTTGCATTGTTCTCAGCCCATTTTTGAAGCCACTGATTTGGGCTTTACTTTGTGGCTCGGTATTATTTCCCGTCAAGTCATCTTTAACTACGATTGTGCAGTCATGGTTCGCCGCCACTGAGAAGTCGAATAAATTATTTTTGCTCAGTTTGTCGATAGTACCTGTCAACATATTTGACAAACTTTCTGAATTTGTCGGTTCGTTTTTGCAAAAATATCTGAGATATATTTTGAGCATTTTTTCATCGCTTATAGGAATATCCATAGTTTACAAATACCTACCAAATATTATATACTGCTTGATATGGAGACTATTCATGATAGTTAATATTATTCTCAACTTTTTTATATCCATGTGTAATATTTATTTGGTAAGTAATTTATGCGATAAGTTTTGCTTACAAAATCCAACAAAATACCAAAATCAACGGACAAATCGTGTTTGATAATTAGTTAATGTAGATATTGTAAATAATTGCAATTGAGCTATCGTTGTATTATTACATTGTTTAATTGTTTAATTAGCATATAGAACGGATAAGATTTTACAATACTTTCAATCAATTTTACTTGTCATAATGCATGTCAACTGCCTCGTATAATTAATAAATTTTGAACAACTTTATATTTGTCAATGCTTGCCTTTTAATATAATTGATGGAATTTTCATTTTTTTTTTCTTTTCTTTCTATTTTTGTTCTCAGATGGCCACTGTTACGCTAGGATACTTGTCTGTGTTATATTTCTTTTGGACTCCGGCGAATAGTACTCGATTTTATCGCAGTTCATTCATTATGTGGCTCATCATTAGCCTATTCATATCGAATGCTTTGGGAGCGTATCAAGTATTTATTTTTTGCAGCCTTCAGATTTTATTTCTAGTTGGATTTATATACGAAGTAATACTAATATTAGATCATCACGAAATGAATGGTAAAAGAACTTCGTTTATAAATGTAGTGAAATCTGCATTTAATAATATCGACGAGTCGATTACTAATACTACTAAAATGCCGACATTGCTGGAAGACGAGTCATTAATAACGGAAGATGAATCTGTTACAAAAAAAAGTGCAATTAAAGAAGCTAACGATTTAGCTATCAAGCCGTTTCTCAAAACAATTGGAAGATCATTTTCTATGGATCCAAACGTAAGGAAATCGTCGGAGGATCATCTAACTCGAAGAGTTTGTTCCACTAGTAATATCACGTCGGATAAAATATCTATAACAGATCGCTATGTTTTAAAGAAATTGCGTGCGGAATTACGTATGTCTTTAGACATAGAGGTTAATAATGTCGATACCGACAAGTATATGTACGGAGCAATGTATGCTTGTATAGGGATGATATTATGGAAGCATAAGTGGATAGCAATTATTCTGATTATGCCAATGGCATATTTTTATTTGAAAAAATTTAGTTCTTATTTTGGAATAGGAAATGGAGTGTTGAAGCAGTGTCGCAGAGCGATAGATTTGATTAGTTTGTGGTGCCAAGAGCGACACCAAGCATTGATTCCTATTAGCATGAGAGGCCTTTTTAAGGTGATAATTATAATCGATCGCAAAATGACACAAATTTTAAAAGAATCGGTCGATTCGGTAGCAACAACTGCAGTTATTCTGGGACTTATAGTTTTTGTCTTATGTACGTCAGTTTTTATAACAATTCAAGTAAGATTGTTATTCAGTTTTTTCTTTTTATCAATTTTAAAGGTGCGTTCTCAATAATCTATCTCCACCATGCTAACCGTTTTATATAAAAATATAAAATGAACAAAGTGCCTTAATGTTAACGAAGCACAAATTCTTTAGTAATTTACAAAAGCAATAAATAGTTTACAAGTTTATTTTCCAAAATTATGCAAAGTCTATTAAAAACGTTTGTACATTGGTACATTGGGGCATGCTGGTGTATGAATATTGGTACATAATATTTTTATAAGTGAATTCGAACTAACGAACTATAGATTAAATTATTTCTTAAACATACAGATTTATACCGAAGGAATGCATCTGATTCAAATAAGTGGAGAAATTTTAAATTCAACTTTAATGAATCATCCAGACATAGATTGGGTTCCTCAACAGTGGGAAGAGTCGGTTAACAGCGTATTGGATAATGCTTATGTGTACGGACGCACTGCCATTTCGGATGGTGTATGATGTCCATTTATTTAAAGTTTATGCAAAATTGTGCAATTAAAATCGTAATTTAACGTCCGATTAACATAACAATACTGTCCCTTTTTTTAATATCATTTCTAATTATTATTTTGCTTAAAATCTTTTATTTTTTTTTTTTTTATTTTTTTTTTTTTTTTTTTTTTTTTGTTTCTCCTTTAAATTACGTATCCTATGTATCCTATTATACTTACACATTTGTTGCTGTGTAACTTTAATTAGCTTGATGGCATTGAATTAAATACGAAAATCCTCCCCCCCCCCCGCCATATCGATATATTGTATTTTTATTAATTGAGATAAATATTTAATAGACATTATTAATAATGTTTTATATAGATAAGAAAGTTCGTGAAAGACTTGGAACCCGCAAAAGCAGAACAAATGGAAAAGAAAGTATTGGAACTTTGGGATAGACTTTATCAAGCCTGGATGATGTCAAATGATAATCCAAATATGATTGGACCATCCGTGGATGTAAATGCAGCCTTTTCTGTATGGGAAAGTTTAACAGAAAGTATTGGAAAATCTCCATTACGTTAGTTAGATTTTTAATAGATTTTTAATTTTTAATATTCTTACCGTCAAAAATATTGTTTGAATAAGCAGTTGAATTTAGTAAAATATTGTATTAAAATTTTTATTGGAAGAAAAGTTTTATGCTTTTGTCATGCTTACTTTATTCGATTGACATTGTAATTATATTGATGCGTTCTAGAGTTATTTAATATGACCAGCATTCAAAATTTTGCCAAAGAGAATGTCGGTATTCTTATGTCAGTTTTGGATTCCATCTGGGGCATTATAAAGGGAAATATGTCTGTAATTCTCAGCTTAATTACCGAATTAATGTACATAGTACTCATGAGCGGATCAGTTGTGCTTAACTTTGCACTAAGTATGGTAATATTAAGAATCTTTGACTGAATGCATTGATTTAATTTTATCGAAACAGTTTTCAATTTTATGTGTAAATTGATTTCAGATTGTCTTTTTTACCGCATTATTTTATTTACTCAATTCTAGTGGAAAAACCTATAAACCAATTGAATTGATTACTAATTTTAGTCCCATAAGTTGCCACAGGTAAATATGCATTTTTTCTTAGCCTTTTGTAATATTTCAAAAACATTCATAACATTATTCTATTTTGTATGTATATTAAAAAACAAACAAAAATAAAAACAAAAACAAAAACAAATAGCCGACTTGATGAAAAAGGGTAGGTAAAAACAATCTTGAATTTGATTATTTATATGGTAGTTAAACGTAATCTGGCATTTCAATTGTCGTATAAAGCTAATAATTAAGTAGCACTTATACATGAATAATTAAATAGCCGATTCAATTTTCTTGGCGGAATGAAACGTTATTTACAAAAATCCCATTTTAATATTAGATTCGCAACATCTTTACAAGAAGCCATAATTGGAGTTTTTACTGCAACTTTTAAATTGGCTTCCTTCTTCGGCATGTGGACCTGGTTCATACACAATTTGTTTCAAGTTAAATTTATCTATCTGCCGACAGTATTAGCCACTTTGCTCGGAGCAGTACCATTTTTGGATGCTTATTTCGCTTGTCTTCCAGCGACCATTGAACTGTGGTTTACACAAGGACGCTTTATTGCAATTGTATTTTTCCTATTTCATTTTCTGCCTTGCAATATTGTTGTTAGTGAATTTTACAAGGAAATTAAAGGGTACATACTTTTACATATTATAAGAAAGTTAATGTTCTGTAGAGTAATATGAAAAATGTTGAACAACATAGTTGTTAAAAGTAAATTAAAATTCATTGGTATCATTAATAGATTATCAAAGTCCTAATTGTAAAATCAATTTTCAATAACGTTACACGCATATGTAATAATGAGATTAAATAAATATTTCTGTATTGATTTTTAGGGGTGGACATCCATACCTCACTGGCTTATCGATAGCTGGAGGTGTTTTCTGTTTGGGTATCGAAGGGGCTATATTTGGTCCTTTACTTCTTTGTTGCATTATGGTTGCAATTAATTTAAGTAGAAGATATCTTCAATCACCTTCGGAAGAAGCCATAAATTCAATTAAGTCGCAAATCGATCGCCTTGAATCTTAACACGTAGATCATTGTGATTTAACAAGTAACTAATATTTTAATAGAATTTAAATGTATAAAAACTAAAATCATAAGTAGTATCGCTCGCTATAATCGATTACAATTAATGATTGGATATTTAAAGAGAAATCTATAGTGTATATAACATTTATTCTATTTTTCTAAAGAATAAGATAAAAGCGTCTTATGAAAGACTTTTGCTATAGCACGCGTTAAATCTGTGATTACATAGTCTTAAATAGTGTTAATACAAAAAAAGAAAAAAAAAAGAAAGCAGTTTAATTATACGTATAACTAAAAACGTTCTTATTGAAGAAGAAGAGAGATAAAATGTTAATTAATATAAGAATTTAAATGCTTAGCTTTGTTTGATACTCAGAACCAATTAATACCACAAAAAAAAAAAAAAAAAAAAAAAAAAAAAAAAAAAATTTTCTTTAATATAAATGTTTTCGTGTATAAAATTTTAAATAAACTATTTTGAATATTTTTATTTATTACTTATAATAATTGTACCTAGTCGTTGATCAGTATAATTAATGAATCTCTGCTAATTCATAATTGATTTGAAAACATTCTTGTACATTCGTAGCTTTTATTTATACATTTTAAAATATTCGACTGTTTCAATTATTTACTTATTTTTGTTTGCTTAAAAGTTTTCGACATTTTATCAAGAGGAATCCAACTGTTATTTATAATGTATACAATTATATAATAATAAATTATTTACATTTTAATCTTGCTCTTGAAATTATAAAAAATGTTTAGTCATCTAACGTATATATTGCTCGTTGCTTCGATTTTGATTCTAGTGGTTTTGATTGTTTTTGAATTATATTTGCATTACGAGATGTATTTTTCGTCACAATAAAGGTTATGACACTATCGATTTAATTTAACCATCGATATTCAGTTGATCGATTACAATTTGTGCATCTAAAGCCCGAAGATCGCTATTGTAAATTCGCGAAAGTGACGTAACTATAAGATTTTTATTAATATGTGCTATTGTCGTTGCTTTAAAAGCATGAAAATTAATGGATTTCTTCCCTTGTAAGACGTGAAAACCATTTTCCGAAAAGTAGCCGCCTACGTTTCCTATTTCCAGCCAAACGAACAATGCCATATTTTGTGAAACTATTTCAATCTGAAAATCTAGTTTCGAATCGCCTTTGAATTGAATATCGATCTGAAAAATATTTTTATTAATTTCATCAATAAGAGTTATGGATATTTCGACTATTCGGCCAAAATTAAATTTAAAAATGATTAACGTACTGTTATAGAATCATTTGGTAAAGAAATTTTTTTCATCGGATGTGGATATACGTAATTTCTTGGAGCTATGATTTTATTATTTACATCCTTTAATATTAGTTCTAAAAAGCAATTTTCTTTTGCCGTGGATAATGTACCGCATCCAGCTGATTCTAAAAGCTTATCGATCCAATACTGAATTACGAATTTAGACTCGTTAGCTTCCTGCAATATTTGTAATCAATCAGAGTGATATTTATTGTTGGTTTATGTATTTTGCGGACAATTTGCTTGGACAAGTAACAACTTACAAGTGTAATATTATTAATTTGATTTGTATGAATGATCGTCGAGCTCTTCCATTCGTAAAAATTCATTTCAACGGCTAAATCGTTCAGAGGCTTTAGTAAATCTGATACAATAAAGATTAAGAGTTCGTTGGCTTGAGTTAGCTTAGACGTAACAATAAGTGGAGAGAAAAACTCTTTAGCATAGTAATGCAGCATCTTCCAGCGTCCTTCAATATCTACAAAGACAAAAGTTCCATAGTTAAAAAATAATTGCTATTATATTATATTCCTATCGCACGTGCGCATTCGTGTTATGCCTTTCACATGTATTTATAATGATAATAATAGTGATTACCAACTGAAGACCACGACGGGGCTTGCCAAACGTCATTCAGCTGCCAATAAAGTGCACCCATTGTCAAACCCTCGCCTAAATCATTAAACGAACTCTTCGTCTGACGGTATAATTCTGTTTGTATTCTCATGGAAACTGCCTGCGTCACTTGACTTAGGTACGTGTAGTCCATCAATGCCCTTATTGTATTATTACTATTTGGTATAATAAAGTTTGTATCGATTAAACGTCTCATAATAACATTTCCTTGAGGCAGGTGTTGACGATGTGTCATAAATGAACTATTTAATTGCAAATCGGTCAAGTTTTTCGAAGCAGAGATCATAGTCCATACCGAGGGTAAGGCCTGAAATCCATATTCAGACGCAAATCGTGTTATCGGATACTGATTAATGTCCCAACTGTTCTTTACATAATTGTAATAATGAACTGAAATAAAGAAATTTTAATGATAAATTAAAGTTACTTTTTCAATTTACGCAAAAATATTCTGCCGTAGCTTTCGCCAGTCAGTTATTGCCATTTACGCGGTTCATTTCATTATTTATTTATTTATTTATTTATTTATTTATTATTATTTCTTTTTCATTTTTTTTTTTTTACTCGAACATCGAATCCTCCCTCACGCATTGGTATAAATTTTACTAAATCCGACACACCATTGCACGCACAGTGAATTATATCAATTTAAAGCACATTACCATCTCCATAGAGATTCGAATAGGGATTCGATTCCGTATAATTTTTTTCCTCGCTGTACAATCCATTACTTGGACTCGATACGGCAAATGGTCTTGTCGAATCTATCATTATTGCCTCATTTTTAATGGTATCCACATAAAGTTTAACATAATCATCCTTGTAAAGTTTATTATTCCCAGTGCCATACCAATTTCCATAAAGTGCAGCTTCGTTTTCATTATTTCCCGCCCATAAAGCAATGCTTGGATGATATTTTAATCTTCTCGTGTTTTGAATAACCTCCTCCTTCACATTATCAAGAAAGAATTTTGTCGTCGGATACATATTACAAGCAAACATAAAATCTTGCCAAATCATAATTCCATACTCGTCGGCTAAGCTATAAAAAAGATCTGATTCGTAAACTCCACCGCCCCATACTCTTAACATATTCGCATGAGTGTCCTTAACGGCTTTAAGTAAATTCTCTAATTTTTCTTTATTTTCTAAATGCTCGGGAAATATGCTCGAGGGAATCCAATTACTTCCTTTGGCAAACACAGGAATCCCATTAACTTTAAAATAAAAGCTCAAGCCCTTCTTCAATGGCTCCTGTATCAGTTCGATGGTTCTGAATCCAATTTTAAATTTACGTTCTATTATACGAGCAGCAACTTTTATTCTTACGTTCAGTGAATACAAGCTCTGCTTACCATAGCCATTGGGCCACCACGTTTCTACTTTATCCTTAAATTTTAGAAAATACAGTTTGCCTGGATTAATATAATGAAAATATTCCATATTTCATGTATACTTACGAGAGGCACATTTAACATTACGCTTGCATTGGCGCGATTATTTATAACTTTTAAATTTGTAAATACACTGTCGTTCAAATGCTTGTCTTCCAACATACATATTATGTGAATTGGTTTGTCAACCTCTGTCCTCTTATCATGAAAATGATCGACAAATGCCGTTACAACAATTTTCCAACTACTCTGCTTAAATATATCGACTGTGACTTCGGATACCAATACATCATCTACAGCTTCGACTTCTACATTCCTCCTAAATATCACAATAGTAAAATTATAATTTTCGACGTCATTATAATTTAGTATATATATATATATATATATATATAAGATAACATGATTTTGATATATGCATGACTTTTCATTGAAAGCCATTCAAATTCATTGTACCATATCCCCATTGATGGGAAGGCTGGACCCCAATCCCAACCGTAACTGGCTTGCATTTTTCTTATATGATTGACATGGCACTCCCCATTATACGCACTTGGAACGCACTTAGGTGGTACGATGTAATTTAGAGATTGAAGATTGTACAGTTTTTCAGCAATTTTAACAGACGATTCAAAAATTACTTTCAACTCGTTATCTCCACTCTGTAATTTTAATATACCATGTCATAAAAGCCAATAGATGCATCGATTATCGGTAGGTCGCACAAATAAATACTATATATTTTTTTAATAACGACGTTTTACCTTTAAGTAACTTTTAATGTCAAAACTGTACTTTAAAAACATATTTGAAGTTTCTCCAATTTGAAAATCATTTACATAAATTTTAGTAAACGTATCTAATCCATGGAAGATTAGAATAATGTGAGACGCACTCAGAAAAGTGTTATTAACTGCAATAAACAAATAAAAAAAATCAACAACGTTTATAATGTATTTAAACAAAATTTTATTTAAACAATTACCTTGGATATTAGTTGTATAGACAATTGTTTCATTTGCAACCCATCGATTTATCACATCGTTAAATCCTAATAAATTCTTTTTAATTATTCCACATCTTTCTAAATCACTATAAATACCACCAGGTATTTCGGCTATAAATCTTGTGCCTGTTTAATTCAATTAAAAAAAAAATTTATATATATAGATATATATATATGATCGAATAGCAAAAATATTAAGGAAAAAACGTATATTACCTGTTGATGGAATGTAACCTCTCCATTTTCCATTTAATGAAATTGATATTACATTATAAAAACAAAGAATTAGGCAAACAAGGAATATTTTTATCCCATGCATAATTAACTATGTATTGTATTATATGAATATTTTATCATAAATTAACCTTACAGTCGTTAATTTTTCTATCCTTACTATTGTCCAAATCAAAGCAACGACTATAAATATTAAATATATTTGATTTTGTAATATAACTATTTTTAATATAATTGTACACGTTTCAGTGCATACACGCATGTGTATGTATGCGTACATCCATATACAAATGCAAACGCTTAAATAAAAAAAAAAAAATAAAAAAAAAAAATAAAATATATATATATATATATATACACGTATCTATATATATATATATATATATATATATATATATTTTTTTTTTTTATTACAAGCTTTAAATGGTCTCTTGAACACGAAAGATAAACAACATACTTAAACGAAATTTCCTAAGTATGTAGATAAATTTAATCGAATTGAAATTATTATTTAAATTACAAAAACATTCAACAAAAATACGTTGCAATAAATACGGGCTTACTAATTAAATTAAAACACCTTTTTAAAAATAAAATTATATTTTCAAGATATTTTAAAAATAGGTACAAAACTTATCTTATCTCTAACAATTGCTCTTTCTTATATTTAAATAACAAAATATATAAATATGTTGAAGCAACTATGTATTATCGGTTAATAGAGCCATATTATAGACAGTTTTTTTTTTCTTTCTACATCTTTTACAATTTTTTAAGCAATGTTTCAAACACTGTTGACTATAATTACAAAATAAACTTTTGACTTACTTTCTAGATCAATTTTTGTACACTATACACGTAACTAAATTATCATTTTAATCCGAAAGAATTTTTATATATTTGCCAAGTAATTGAAAAGGTAAAATATTTGGGCACAAAGGAAATTTATGATTCTCATCGTTAATTAAGTAATTTATCACTGGAATGTATCATCGTACGATATCACAACATTCTTCCAAGATTATTCTAGGCATTAAATTTTGTAATGTGAAATTGATATGACGAATATAAACGGTATGATCTACATAGTTAAATGATTAATTAAAATCATATTGAAATAGAAGGAGTACGAGAGCTATTGTATAGATTTAGATTTACAGTTAAGATTTTCGCATAAGGATATCATGTTGCTTTAGTAATTTCGACGATAAAATTTCGTAAAAAAAAAAAAAATGTGAAGAACCACGAATAACCGTCCTTTCGCCACTTACATTTGTCATTGTTAATCACTTACAATGATCGACAGTTATAAAACATTGAAACGGATGATCCATTCAGCACGCAAATTCCTAAATGAAATTAGAAAAATGTATCATTTTAGATGAGAATATTTTACGAATTTCCAAGAGAAAAAAGAATATGGCGAATTTTACCATTTGGCACTGTTTCGTGCTATTAGACATTTTTATTTCAAAGGCATTGGCATTGTAATGCTCGCGTTACGTTGAATCGTTGCGACTCGAACATGGCTCTTGGCAATTCAACTCGTTCGATCCTACTTTATATTCGCAGCAGTGTTCGGCGTGCAGTTCGATATCGTCGTCTGGGAAATAGATACTACAAATGGGGCACTGCACAAGCGAATTATAATAAGCTATGTCGACGTCATTGTTATCGCCAGAGCCACTCTAGAAAGGCAAAAATTATTAAATAATAGGACTAGGAATAGGACTAGGGAGATAGTGGTAACGAGGGCTTAGCGATACTAACAAGACTCTGGTGCGACGTATCATTTCTTCTCATTCTTGAATTACGGCTGCTAAAATTCTCTCCCTCGTGCAACTCCTTCGATATCAACTCATCCACCTTCATTTGCTTTGTCATTTTCCTCCGATTCATTGCTTTCTTCGAGGGTTTCAGTTTTTGCTTCTCTGCAACATTTATATTTTCTAAATAAGAGAACGCTATATGTATTTTGTTTTGCAAATGTGTAGGCACTGGTGAAATATTTTTTTCATCAGTTATGTCTACACAATCACTGTCGTCTATTTCTTCATTAAGTTTGTCTAAAGTTTTATTAATTTCTTCGTCATTTAAGAATAAAGCATTATTTACGAAACTCTTTTTTGATCGAATTATATATTTTTTCTTAGCTCTGGGACCTTTGAAATTCTTTTTAGCAGGCTTTGGAGGAAGAACGCGCCTCGGACATTGTAACTCTTCATAATTAAGTTCTGAGTTTATCGAAGGATTTGCATTTAAATTCTTATGTAAATTGAACGTGTTTGAATTATCAAATAACTCAGAATCCGAAAGATCCTTATTATCATCTACTTCAATCGTCTCAACGGAATTAACAAAATTAGCTTTATTTTTCAACTCCTCCTCTGCTCTTTTTGCCTGTTGCCATTTTCTTTTTTTTCTATAGATAGACCCATCATTGCTTTTATTATCACTACTGTCATATGCGGCAGCACCAATATTACATAATGCCTTACGTTTAGCAGCTCGGCCGAATTTTTGCTTAGGTGACTCCTTTGCTCCGGCACTCTTTTCCTCAAATCGATTTTTCTCCAGTGAACTGTCCCATTCTAACGCAACCTTTACAAACATAGCAAGGAACATAGCATTAGAGTCGGCCAATAAATAAATTTCATTCTTCTTAATATACGCTCTATTATATGTATATTAATTCTTTTGTCAAGTTTCAAATATTTGTGCCCGCTACACAATAGATTTGACCTCAAATTTATAAATGCTTCGATATAGCAAATGTTTCATAATTCATTGTAAGAGATATTTTTCTTTTTATTAATGATATATTTGTGCTCTCTATATATCTCAATAACAATAGATTATGTGTAGGTAAATTGTTATGCTCGCGCATTTCAAATCTATATATATATATATATATATATATATTAACATTATTCTTTACAATACGTGTATACACTAAAGTAGTATTAAATATAGATCTTTGTATTGTGAATTCTGTAAATTAATAAACGATTTTTAAAAGCAGCATAAAAAAATTAATGAATAATCGTATATTATAATCCTTGAAACTTAATATAGTATAAGCGAAAATCATTACTTTTGTTATTCTATTCTTTAATTCTTTATTTATTTATTTATTTTTTTTTTAGATGTTTTTGTTCGTTTTCTACTATTACTTTCACTATTAATTGCCAGTAATTCCGTTCAATTCACCTTAATAGGTGACCCATATTGCGATATTCCATTTTCGTTAGAAAATTCAGACAAGATGAATTTTTCATATTGAATGTCTAGTTCGTTGCTCATGGCTTGACACATTCCTTTGAACATTGTGGAATTGATTTTTTCCTCCATATACTGTAATATCTCATTTTGCGAAATGCTTATGGGTTTTGGATGCTCTATTGACATAACATTTTTATCTTTACTATATTTAAAAAGATTTAAATTCCACTCGCTACTAATATTACAGATCTCCTCCATTACTCGAAGATCGACGTTCGAAGACGAACATTTTTCACAAACTTCCTTGTTGTTATCGTCGTTGATTTTGATACTAGGGACACTAGTTTTTAACGACGAGCTGCTCCTATCATTATTATTATTAGACAGGGATGTTTTTGTTAGACTGTCGGTGCTATTAGATAAACTTAACGACGATATAGTCGCAACATCTTTGTTACTGTCCATAGAATTTTGTGGCGATCTTAGGTCACTCGATGCTTTACACTAAAATTTAAAAATATAAGTATATCAGAAGAGAAACACATTGAATTTCTAATAGAAATCGTCATAAAGAAACGGAACATGGAAGTAACAGAAATACCATAAATTACTTATAACGTTGTGGGCAAAAAGTAATCGTTGATTATCGTCGTTTAAATTTTATTACAACGCGTTACAATACTCAATCGATATTACGTTTATTACGCAAACAGACGGTTCTTTACAAACGAACGAGAGAAAAGAAAATTCGTATTTTTAAAATTCTTTCGAGCGCTATCAATACGTTAATATTCTTCGCCATTACTGATACTCACGTTTTCCTGACATTTGTTCGATGCCATCGGAGATTCCTCTTCTATGCTATTCATCTCCTTTAAATTATTAATGGGATCGGCCTCTGCAAAGAAAATACACACCAGACTTAAGTAAATACTGTAGTTGGGCGGGAGGGCGATTGAACGGTGGAGGGAGGGAAAGTAGTAGATATTTGTCTTTTTTTTTCTCTCCCAAGTCCATTATCACATCAACGCATTGGGCGATAAAAGTACAAGGCATTGCACAATCGCATGTGCAAATTGCTTCCTGGCTTATCGTTTTAAATTCACCGTAAGACAATGAAATAATATAATCCCAAGCTCGCGACAACAAAGCTCGTGAAATTCATTTGTATCAGGATTGGTGAACGTAATTCACCCACGAGGCCCGACAAATCCTTTTAAAAACAAGAAAGCTGCGCCCGAGTGAGGAAGAGAAGGGGCAATGGGAAGGCCCGCACAAGCAGCGGATGCGACGTTAAACATTCGATTATTAATAGGATGAAAATTATTATACTTTGATATTGGCTTCTCGGCTCTTCTTCCTGCGTCTGGCAGACATTATTCCGTGGCTCATCCTCTCTCTTCGATGCCATATTACCCAATAAAGCTCGAATCATTCTGTGGCTGAGCGTTCTGGGCTGAATGGTTGGAGAAGTCCGGGATAAGAACGCGCGCAATGCAATAGAACGCCGGCAAACGCAACGGACAATCACTCGAATAATCCAAGGCCCCTTCGCCACGCGACAACATTAGCGGCGATTCCGCAAAATCTCCCTCCGTGACGCCTTAACCGCAGCGTCGTACAAACAAACGAGAGCGTACGCGCGTACCTCCGCGATACCATTTCTCTTCCGGTAAACCAAGAAGCGCAGGACGTTTCCAGCTACGTAGCGGCTGTGTAAGCTGCTCCTCGTAAGCTCCTCGAGCAATTATGGCGAGTTTTCACGTCGCGCGACCATCCAGTGTCCCCTGTCCAGTTTTCTTACTCCCTCCGTGCGCCACCGCCCCCTCCCAATCCAAGCCAGCGCCATTGTCGGCAGAGGCTTAGGCAGGAGACCAGCAGCGACGGGCGAGCGAAACTCCGAAGGAAATCCCGGGAACTTTGGGCGCCAAATTGGAGTGGGGAGGCCGGCTGAGCTTGTTTAATGTGATTATTAACGTGGTTAATTGATTGTCGGCAAGTCGTTTTGATAATTGTTCCGAGCCGTCGCGGCGTGGAATGAGAGAGAGTTATTTAAGGGGAGCTTATTTAATCGCGAGCGTCTCGCTTCCTCGTTGAGTGTGTTCGTGATATTAATTATATTATTAGGCTCGAATTGCAAGAGTCCTCGACATGGCCGATTCAAACAAGCTGACAAAGTTGATCCACACGACCTTTAATATTTACGGATTGAAAATAACGAGGTAATGGATATTTTATAATAGCGTCAAGTCACAGACTGCCCATCGTCGTCTGATTTATCCCTCCTTCTTATCTTACTTTCTTTGCGATGTTTTTAAGGAAATTGAGCGTCGTCGTGGCAAAACATTTGCAAAATAATACAGATTTGAATCCGGAGATTTGGCTGACGAAAATAATCGAGCAAATACTGGGACAGAATCTGCCAGGCGCCAACGTCGATCTGGACAATATAAAGCTTGCCTTGAAGGAGTGCTTCAAGCCCGAAAGTACGTTGAAGGAGACGGAATCGGTGCTAAATGTCATTGATATTTTCACCGTACCTAAGGTGGTCTACGATACTAATAAGAAAAAGTATACGATACAAAGAATGGATAATAATTTGTTCTCCGAAGCTGTCGACAAGTCATTCGTTTTTAAGGAGCGACTGGATCTGCTGTGGTACAGAACACAGAGGCACGCGAGTTTCGCGCCGGCCAAATTTGGCAAGACAGAGTCCAATAAATTGCAATTGGTTCCCATAGAATTTTTACTTAGCCAGGCCAAGACGAAAGATGTCTGTATTATGGGACTATTGTCTCAGATTACGGAAGGTCAATATTACCTGGAGGATTATACCGGATCTATTAAAATAGATCTCAAAGATGCTATATCCTTTTCAAATTAAAGTAACAGCTAATGCTGTAAATGCGTGTGACGATTAATAATTAAAGATGTAACTTTGATTTATGGGACGATAAGATTGTCTTTCCTTGACTAAAATATAATTCTTCAGTTCGAGCTTAATTATGGAAGGGTCCATTGTTCTAGCCAAGGGACGATACGTAGAAGGAATTTTACAGGTTGATAACATTGATTTCCCACCGCCGGATTCGGTAGAAAATAGCCGAGTCAATTTCGGGGATAGCAATACCTTTGGCGGATCTCATCCGACGTCCTTAAAATTATCAGAAAAATTAAAAGCGTACGAAGAGGCGAATAAAGATAATTTCATTATTGTGATATCGGAATTCTGGGTGGATAGTGAAATTGTGTTAAGCAAATTTAAGGTTCTACTCTCTGGATTCTCAGAAAGTCCTCCAACCGCTATTGTACTATGTGGCCACTTCTTAAGTTTCTCAATGACTGTCACGAGCGTTAAAAAATTGAAAGAAGGTTTTAAAAGACTTGCTGCAATCATTGCTGAGTTCCCGGTGATTCAGAAAAATACTAGCCTTATACTGGTACCTGGCCCCTACGATCTTAGTGCCCCGAATATATTACCAAGGGCGCCGCTACCGAAATACGTGCTCGAAGATCTTTTAAAAATTTTACCCAACACGTATTTAGCGACGAATCCTTGTCGATTACAATACTGTACAAAAGAAATTGTTATTTTTAGAGAAAACATGTTATCTAAACTGTGTCGAAATACTCTACATTATCCAAAAAAGGAGGAAGACGAGGCGAGTGAGAATAGGGGAGAAAAAATATACGAAGCTGTAAGAATATTTCATTTCATCTATTCTTTTGCATATTTTTGTTTCATTTGTATGTTGTCATGTTTTTGCTATTATTTCAGTTTGCCAAATCAATTATTAGACAGTCGCATTTAACGCCTCTACTCTTTTCAATGATTCCTGTGTATTGGAAACACGATCAAGCCTTACACCTCTATCCAACGCCAGATCTTATAATCGTAGCCGATGATTTCCAGCCTTACGCTACAAGTTACGCCAACTGCAAAGTTATTAATCCTGGACCATTTAGTAAGAGTAATTTTGCTTTTAAATGCTACAATCCTGCGGATAATATTGTAGAAGACTGTGAAATACCTGCCGATGATGGCTAAATCTAGCTTAATTTTAATAACTTCAAATAAAGAAGAGAAATTAAAAATCTACAATGTAAATAATGTTATATTCTATGTATAATATATATATATATATAATTTTTTTTTTTTTTTTTTTTTTTTTTTTTTTGTAAAAGAAAGTTATTTAAGTATTTGTACAGTATTTATTTCTTAAAATATACGTCAATATTTATATTTAACAAGTACGTAAATTATTCCTTAAAGCTACAATGAAAATAATAAGTAAAATTTAAAAATTTTGAATATTTAAATCGTAAGAATTTAATTTTATTTCAGAAAAAAAAAACAATTGTTATTTACACGTAAAGTTTTAAACAAAAATATTTATAAATAAATAAATACATAAATGAATAACTATGCATATATATATATATATATATATATATATGTGCGTGCGTGCGTGCGCGCGCGCGCGCGTATGCATGTTTAGGTGGACATGTTCATACATATGTGTATACACATAAAAGTAGATAAATCTATTTAATAGATTGTTTTTTCTAATCTTAAATGTAAGGAGTAATAGAAGGACAAGGTATATTTAAAACTTGTGAATGTATTTAGGTTTTTAAAAGTAATTTTATCAGCATTCAATAGATCATAATGACAACAATTACTTTTAAACATTAAATATTATATAAAATGATAGAACTTAACTTTCAATTTATATAAATTTAATGAATTATTACTGGTAATGAGTTTGAACGTGCCAAAAATATACTGACAGGTATAGAATTAAATTCTTATTACTGATTACTGAGTCACGTATCACAATCTATGCATACCGAGGCACTTTGAAACCCCATAAGGTATTAAAATCAATTTTGATTACACAACTCTCCATCGTGAATTATATGTTACTTTGGTAAGAAAATAATAATAATAATAATAATAATAATAATAATTACGATGATGATGATGACGATGACGATGACGATGATGACGACGACGACGACGACGACGACGACGATGATAATAATAATAATAATAATAATAATAATAAGGATTTTGCTTTTATGTCTTACAATTATTGTGATCGTATCTGATTTAATAAAAAAGTATAAGATAGGAATTTTCTAACAGAATTTAAACAAAGAAAAATGAGAAGAACAATACTACATTATTGCACGTGCTTACTGAGTACGTTTTACTTTTAGCTTTGTTTCTTACTAATCGATTCTCCCGTTTGCTCATGTTAAGATCGTGGATCGCTTCCATTATTCTTAATACATATATAATACGATTATGTACCAATGCTTTTCGCGCGTAACTATATACAGATGCATAAACTGGAGTGTTGCATTTATAAATTCAGTCGTCGGATGATCATTCAGTCCTTTGTACTCTCCATTTCATGGATTTCCTGGTTTACTATTGATTTCTCCTACAGAAATAAAAGACATTTTATTAGATTTTGCGAAATACAATTGTCTCGGTGGTTTTGTTACAAATATTTCGTTTTATCTCTCATTCATATATATATATATATATATATATATATGAAAATTTGGGTAATCGTGCGTTATACGTCACATTAAATGTTATTACATTAAACAACAACAACATTAAATAATGTATAAAGCTAATGCAAAGTTGAACGAATAGCTAATATACTAACTGTCTCTCTGGTATCTTCGACAAGCTTCGTTTCTTTCCTCTGCGTCAAAGTACCATAATGTTATGGCATATCTCGTTTTGTATGCTGGTTGAACTTCATGTGGATTTCTTCGATCTGACCAGAAAAAGAGAATTCGATCAAAAAGTGGTTCAATGTCCGCAACTTGATCTTGCCAGCCTTCTGGAAATATCCTAAGGAGACCGCCATTTTGCTGAAATAATTGTAATTTTAAACATTTAATCTCATCGATATTTCTCAATATCAAATTAGAAATTAAGGAAATTTTATGCATCCGATTACAACAGTACAAACATTATAATTACATTAGATTAATAAATCATTAGTACAACAATTAAATTGATATGCGCGTATGTGCGCAATAATATATTCGGATTGCCGATGAATAATTAGGGATGTATTAATCATTGTATCATGAGGCAGAACATCGTTAATAGTTAATAATTTTTAAAATCATGAAATAAAAAAAAACATATTTCCGAAATAACAGACCAAACTTTCCAAGTCATTGAAAAGAAAATTGAGAGAAGGATATTATATGATGAAATAGAGATCGATTACCTTGATGTCCCAATCCCTATTTAAATAATATATCGCCGTGATGCACCTGCCGTCTTGATTTGGATTATCCACGTGTTTTACATAATGGGAACCGTAGCCAGGATAACACGCTACCATAGCCTTAAAATAATAAAAAGAGACGAATACGTTAAAAAATAGTTGTTTTTTTTCTTCTAAAATTACACAATAATGTTAAACAATAGGATCGCGTAATAAAAAATCACACGCACTTGTTTATATATATATATATATATATATATATATATATATATATTGAGTTTAATATATGATTTGCGCAGAGAAGAATGCAAACATCATCACCACGGTACACTTCGTTTTCGTAATTTAAATTATTTTTAAAACATATCTTTTACGATTTCTTTAAGACGAAACATCGTTACGTTATCAATTATCGAACTTATCACAGCTATTTCACATAAACGAATAAAAATTAATGAAACGCAAAAAAACGTACAAATCAGTTTGATCAAACATTTAATTTTATTAATAACGTCGATTCATTAATTTTTAATCGTGCAGCATTGAATTTTTGATATATTGCAGTATTAGGACATTACGCGGTTTATCTAAAGTTTGTCGTACGTAGAGAAAAAATATGGTATAATTATATTGAAAATATTGTGAGAATAAGTAAGTAGGATCGCATTCTCTTATAGCCGCTTAAAAATATATTTTTTCCAAATCACATTTTCTTATTATAATATAATATTATATTTCGTATATTAATTTGTTATGCGTTGTCGGTTTATATATATATATATATATATATATATATATATATTGAGTTTAATATATGATTTGCGCAGAGAAGAATGCAAACATCATCACCACGGTACACTTCGTTTTCGTAATTTAAATTATTTTTAAAACATATCTTTTACGATTTCTTTAAGACGAAACATCGTTACGTTATCAATTATCGAACTTATCACAGCTATTTCACATAAACGAATAAAAATTAATGAAACGCAAAAAAACGTACAAATCAGTTTGATCAAACATTTAATTTTATTAATAACGTCGATTCATTAATTTTTAATCGTGCAGCATTGAATTTTTGATATATTGCAGTATTAGGACATTACGCGGTTTATCTAAAGTTTGTCGTACGTAGAGAAAAAATATGGTATAATTATATTGAAAATATTGTGAGAATAAGTAAGTAGGATCGCATTCTCTTATAGCCGCTTAAAAATATATTTTTTCCAAATCACATTTTCTTATTATAATATAATATTATATTTCGTATATTAATTTGTTATGCGTTGTCGGTTTAAAAAAAAAAAAATATATATATATATATATATATTGACTCAATATAAATACAAATGCATTGGTTACGATGACATTTCAATCGAGCTTTTATAAAACAAACAATTTTTCAATTAAAAAAAATATTTATGTTTCATAATACATTGTTAAATGAATTCATATTAAAGACGAATTATCTTTTAACCTTTCATTGTGTCGTACATACCAATTTATAAATTATATCTCGAAAAATATTCGCACCCACAGTATTATCTAACCGATAGGCGTATGGACAGCAAACAATAATACATAATATATTGACACATAAAGCACTAAACGTTACGTCTTCCTCGAAATTCTCACGTAGACCATTGGGTAAACTTGATTACGAAAAAGTTCTTGTATTATTCTTGGGTAGAGTAAGAGGACGGGAGAGTCACAGAGAGAGAGAGAGAGAGAGAGAGAGAGAGAGAGAGAGAGGAAAAAAGATAGAATATAGAGGAACAAAGAGATATAAAAACAAGTAGCTTCAAATAAAAAATTACTTCGATTTTATTACTAATATGGGAAAAACTTTAAGCTTACGTTATTATACAACGTCATATCGAGATTTTTAATTAAATTAATTTTACTTTAAAGCTACGACTACTCTTTC